AGAAGTTCTTCTTATTTATGTCTTAAACTCATGATGATTATTTTAATAAAGATGATTGTTTATTTCATAATAATTATGAGCTGAATTTATTTTCTAGGGTTGAGATGTAGCCCAATCTCTATGATTACGTGTTGATATATTATTGTTAATTCTTATTAGGCATTGTTTTGAAGTTTCATTATTGCGCTTAATGCTTGTGATTCTTAAGGCCCCGAGAATTGAATGAATTAATGGACTAGGTTGAGATTGAGAGATGATACTTAATTGGTTTAGGGTAATAAAACCATAGGTTGAGCGAACGTAAGAGATACGTTACCACAACTTGTAAGGTTTTGGTAAACTCTATAGAGCATAATGATCTTTTAATACTTAAGTCTGATTTAGAGATATCTTAGGTTAGTAATTAGGAGTTAATCTGGTAATTGTTCGAGAGAAAGTTATTGGAATTCCAGGGAGTTTGACATGTAGAAAAGGCTTAATACGATTAGCATAAATTATCAATGCATAGGAATAAAATTGGTGTGAAATCTGTGCCTTAGGTTTAGCAATCTTGCATTAGACATCAAGGCTTTTGTTCATAGTTTATGTTTGTTTTAGTTTTAAATTGTTTTCGATTGATTATTTAGTTTAGGTTTTTCTTCATATATTTTTGGTTAATCAAATAGTAACAAGATAGTAAATTTTGGCAATTGATAATAGTAATTCCCTAGGGTTTGACATTCGTTATTTACTCGTCATTACTTGCATGATTTTGAATGCTTGTGAATAGTCCTGTCAACACTACACACTAGATATAAATAATCTAGTGATAATGTACTAAAGAACCACAAGCATCCATGAAAAAGACATGATCGCATCTCATGATTAACAACAAAGTGACACTAATGCACACAACGATGATCATTGACTAAAGATATTATACCCATGTGATCAATCGTTCAACAGTCACGTTTGATATACTTCATTCTCTAATGAATCACCTTATCATTTGTGCTCTTATGATATGAATCTCATCACCCAACCATCAGCATCTTGTGCTAATCAATGGCAGCACATAGTAATGCTGATCTTGTGATAAAATTGCCCCCGATTACTATCACATCTTATTAGGAACATACTTAAGAGCAAGTCATGCCCAAAGAATGATGATACTCATATTCTCAAACTCTTTGAAAATAGAATTCTTTCTAGAACAAGCTCAGGGACATATGCAACTTAATTAAATATAGATGACACACAGTAGCGTAGAATAATCATTATTTTATTAACGATAAAATCATTACAAAGTTTATATATATAAATGTTGCCCTAAACCTAACATCTATCATTGGTTTTAGGGCACATATACTAACAGTATCTTGGAGCCCTTATAGTACCGTTCATACCTGCATGGAATGAAAGACTCTTTGGCTTTAGGACAATGAGTATACGTGTGCCTCTCTCTAAGCTCAGGTCTTAATTTCTTACTTTCTTTATTTTAATTGTTAATATTTAAATTTCATAATATTATTTATTAATAATTGTTAGTAGAAAATTAGGTAATTTTTATAATATTTCCTATCAGTATTCCATTAGTTTATCTATTTACATACAAGTATATGTACTCCTTCAAGAGAAAGCAATTAAAATAAAATTTTCTAAAGTAGGAAAAACTAATATATCTTAGTTATACAAGAAATTTAAAAGGGTATCAAAAAGAGCTTTATTTGCCCTTTCATCCTTAGATCTGGAGTATATCGCAATAACTTCCAATACTGTAAGATATCAATAATTTAGTCCAATCAAGTATGTTTTTCAATAAAAATTCTATAATACCCTGTTAACTTATACAATGTTATTAAAAATGAATAATGTGTATATAAAACAGTAGAAAATATACTGTACACCTAAAAGAAAAAGTAAATTTTTTATAAGAGTAAGATATGAATAGCCCATTAATATATATATATATATATACACTTTCTTCATTTCTAATAACAAGGGTAATCTAGACTTTTTATTAAATAATTTACCTAACAAGACTAAACTGTTCATATCCTGTAATAACTGCTTCATACTAGGATACGTATAGAAATACATCAAGTAAATATATTTATATTAGCAAAAGTAAATGGGCCCAAAATTTTCTTTTAATACATTTAATCTTTCTTTATACAAAGTAAGGCATCATAAGTAAAAGTTATCAAAAACAGTGGACAGTGTAGCTATTACTCCTCGCTTGCCGATGCCCATCCGACCGCGTCCTCACCTAGATCCTGCAAACACAAAGAAAAACAACGGGGTGAGCACAAAATAATGCTCAGTAAGTAAATCCTCTACTCGTCTATCCCCGTAACTCTTTCTCTTAATTCTTTCCTTACACTCTTCTCATCTCATTTATTTTCTCTTTCTGTTTCTCTTTCACATAGCTCTTTTCTATTAACTTTCTGTTGTATGTCACGGCCTCATCTTACCGGAGGCACGGCTGAGTGGAGATCACAAAGCACCCACCCACTCTTCGTGACTTCTACTCATTCTCTTCCTCTATTCTTTCTCATATTTTCTCATTCTTTCTCACTTGAATGTCACGGCCTCATCTTACCGGAGGCACGGCCGGGTGGAGTTCACAAAGCACCAACCCACTCTTCGTGACTTCCGGTTGGAGTTCACAAAGCACCAACCCACTTTTCGTAACTTCCGGTTGGAGTTCACAAAGCACCAACCATTCTTAGATTTTCTCATTCTCTTTACTTTTAGAGTAGCCCATTCACAAAGTTCTTTACTCTTTCTCAAACTACTTCTCAATGCACAATTAATGCATAAGGATGGTTCATGCTTAAAGTTTCTTACTTAATGCACTTTTGAAATGCACAAATGCAATATTGCATCAAAACTGTCATTCTGCGCAGGTCACACTCAAGAAGGCATAACTTGAGTTATACACCTCGGATTGCTACGGTTTTGGTCTCGTTTTAAAGCTTAGAGACAGGGCTACAACTTTTATGTTTTGGTCTCAGCCCAGTTCAAACCGTAAGTCGCCCAAAAATTACCTAGAAAGTCACGGCAGTGACAGGGCAGATTTCACTTAGGCATTTCATCAAACAACTCATATGCATAAACAAACCCTAATTCAATTATCATTCTATTTAGTTCTCAAACCATCCAAAATGAGAGAAAAACTCTCTTATAGCATCACATACCTACATGGCAAACACACTCCAAAAAAATTTCTCCAATTCTTCCAATTTCAACCCATCATCAAATCATCACATATACTTCTCATATTCAAATATATCCAACAATAAGCATAATACATCATACATCTCATCTCAATTTCTCAATAATCACAACATATGCATATTTAAAATAAATCTCTACTCACTTGAATTCTTAAATTTTAGCTTGAGTTGGATTTTGAGTGGAATTTACTTACCTTGTGCTTGAGTAGTCTCTCCTAAACTCTCTACTCTTGTTGGATTCCAATCTTCTCTTAACCCTAAGCATAAACTTTATAAGAACTCAATCTTTACACAAATAAATCATAGATAAAGAGTATGAATCCTTACCTTTTGATACCTAGAATCAAAGCCCTATGAAAAACCACTTAAAAGCCCTCAAAATCCTTGGAGGATTGAATGAAAATTTGAGAGAAAATGGGGGAGGAGTGTGGCGGTGGAATGAAGAAAATAAGGGTTTCAAACCCTTAACACTTTAGTTTATAACCACACTTTCCCATTATGCCCTTATTCTTTCTTTGAAATTCCATCTATGTCCCTTAGTCAATGACCATAATGCCCTCATTTTTAATGCATTCTCTATGAAATTCTATCTCTTTTCACTCCCCACAATTTCAACTAATTTTGAGTGAAAAGACCATTTTACCCCTAATGAAAGTTTAAGGGATTTTCTCTACATTTTTCTCAAAATAACTTTAACAAAAATTCAACTAAGGCCAACCAACCAATATTAACAATATATCGACCCAAATAAAAGCAAAACAATAAATATTTAAACAATACACTATAAGTTAACTATGTACCTCAAGTGGGGCGTTACATATCCCAAAGTATTAGAAATAAGTGCAATATACTTATAACCTTAAGGATGAAAGTGTGAAAACTCTCAACAAGGTTACATATCTCTAACATGCCCCAGCAAGATGCTACTCCCATCAAAGACACAAATGTTGGCTTGAAGGTGATGAAGACAATGCAGAGATACGGGCAAGAATTAACAAGTTGATATTGGCTAGAAACATGAGATGCTCAAAGCTCACCATTGGACAATTTGTCAAGGACAAATTGAAATTAATTAGGGCTACAAAAAAAAGTCTGAAAACCAAACCGAACTAAAACGGGTTCAAAAAATTGATTTTTCTGAATAACTAGTTCGGTTTCGGTTTGAAAATTAAGAAAACCAGAAAATCGGTTCGTTAACGGTTCAAGTCTAATTTTGAACCAGTTAACCGAAAATGGTTTTCCTAAAATATTTAAAACCCTATCTTCAATAAATCTACTATTGGTTTTCCCCAAAAAATTTAAAAACCATATCTTCAGTAAATCTATTTTGAAAATTAACCCTTCATCTTGGCCTTACATCTTCTAAACAGCTAAACCTAATCTACTCATCTTCTCAAACACGCCTCTTCTCATCTACTCATTTTCTCAAAGTCAAACATGCCTCTTCTCAAATCTCACCCAAATCTTAAAGCCGTGACATAGGGTATTGGTGATTCAAGGCCGACTACACAATGCTGCAACTTGCAGCATTGGCAGCCATCCATGGCCTTTTGCTTGCAGTTTTGCTAAGCTTTGCCAGGCCACCACCACTAGGTCGCGACTTGTGGCCTTAGATAGTGACGGTGATGCCATTGATGATTATTTTGGTTTGTGGGATAGTTTGATTTTGGGTTATGGTTCGATTTTTATTTTTAGGGTTTATTTGGATTGGGTAATTCGATTTGATTTGGGATTTTGAGAGCCCAACTTAACAAAATAAACTATATGATTTTTTTGAAATGTTCAAAGCCAATGATAAAATGTTTGATTTTTTATAAGTAAGAGTGGCACAGGTGTGAGGTTGAGCGTGACAATAGGGGAGGAAGAAGACAAGAGGAAGGTGGATGTAACAACTGCTGAAATCTAGTACAATGCATACATAATAACAAGGCCCAAAACTTTTCTTTTTATTAAAAGTAATACGTCTTTTATACACAAAGAGCATCATTTACAAAAAAACCATTTTAAAAGACAAAAACAGGGGAAACAGTGTAGCTATTGCTCCTCGCTTGCCGACGCCCCTCCGACTGCATCGTCNGTTTCGGCAAGGTTGAAAGCAGGCCATTCCGCTAAGTGCTCATAAATGGCATATGAGTAGAAGCCTGAGCAACCACGAAGCAGTACGAACCTATGACCAGATATAGAGCAACATCCATTAATCTTAAGGAAGCTTTGTAACATAAGCAGACGATCGGTACAATTTAACACGTATAACATATAATACGTAGTATAGTTTAAGAAATTAAGGACCTTTTGTCTATGTTTAAAGGAACGAGCTTGCCCTCCTGAGAGGAATCCCACGTTCTTGTGAATGATATTTCTACTTGCTCATCATTTTCCACTATAACGTTAAAACTTGTTCCTTTAATCCTGCACAGTGATCTTAGATATTAACGAACGGGAGCATGTGCTCATGATTTAAACTGAATAAGGAAATTGACTTAACAATTTAGTTTTGATTTTATTAAGATAGAGAGGGGGATCAGAGGCTTACACATCGAATATTCCAGTTGTTCCTGTACTTCCTGGCGCACTCCAAACAAGGTCCCAGTACCTACATATTGCGCATTTCGGAAAATAAGACTTAGCTCTCCCAAAAGCTTCAACTTTTGAATGAAACAAAAGACTCATGAAGCTTAAGTTTTTAATAACGTCAAATGTGTGTAGACTAACTGGTGAATTGCTATGGCCATTAATGCTGTGTGTACCCTACAAACTCAGGTTTTCAAATACTAAACAGGTTTTCTGTCCACGTAAAAAGCATATTCAAAGAAGAATTACAACATTGGCACGAAAGAATTCGAAAGAAACTCAAAGAACAGTAAAAGAGAGATGTAGAAAGAGATTAATGAAGATTAAAAACAGTTGTAAAGCTAAAGGTAGCTGTAGTAGTAGTAGTACCCTCTATTAGATTCATCATTAATAACTTCAAGCAAGTTGTCGATGTTGCCGTAACGAACTCCAGTTACAATTCCCTCAGGATTCGACAATGTCACTTGGAGTATCCCATTATCCATCACCACCTACACAGATAAAGCATGACCAAAGTTAAACTCAGCTCCCTCACGCAATACTATAGCCAGCGAGGTACGTAGTTTATGTAAACATATAAAATTCAATTTTTCCACAAAAAACACTAAAAACAAAAACTACGTAGGACCAATTGGATCAAGTTTAATTAATTACATGACTATCCAGAACTCGCAACTGCACCCCTCGAGGTGACATGTTGATCAGGGCGATCTCTCACAAAACTCCGAAAAGGCTTCTTACCAACTACCAAGTGATGAACTTTCAACAGTACTATTTCTGAAAACCATGAAAGTTAATTTATCTCCCACCTCCCAGCAATTTGAAGTTTCCTTGAACTAGAGACGAAGCATTCTTTTATACTTTTATGTTTACTAATCTAATCGGGTCTATTGCGCAAACCACCCCTTAAGTTTTGAAATCAAAGTTAGATGCTGACTTTAAGGTCATTATACCAATAACATCCTTCATGTTTCAAAAATTAGTCAGATACGACCCTGGGACTGACGCCGTCACAAGTTCCGTTACTAACCAAGGAAATATTTGTCTTTTCACACTTGCCACTAAAAATCGTAAAAAAGGGCTGATTAGAAAAAGAAGAAACCCAAGTTTCAGTTCTTTCCCGTCTTTGTCGTCACTTACGCTTTCAGAGTGTGTGCAAAACCCATATTTTTCACCTCTTCTTCATAAAGAGTGGCGATAGATGGTTCAGAGCCATCAACAGGAATCCTTTTCTGGCAATCCACAAAGAGGTATCATGCTGTTTTTGTGGCGTTTCCTACTTTGCACGTGGGTGGGGAAGGAGCAAGAAGAGAGGAGTGAACTTCCGTGGATGGTGGGTGGGGGAAAAAAGAGCTAAAAAAATAAAAAATTGGAAAATAAATTTTGAAAAGCAGCCATATGTCAAATCTTAAGGGTAAAGAGGTTATTTTAAATTATGTTATGACGGAAGTTGTAAGGGAAGTTGACGGGAGGGTGATATTAAAAATTTGTAAAACATCAGGGGTTTTACAACCACAAAGTTAGATTTCAGTTTCTAAAATAAGGGGTGGTTGTGCAATTGACCCTTTTTAAATCCCTTTACTTTGTCGCCAACATGGTTTGGTGCAGCATGTACAGGCGTGCAAGAGTCGCTATGATGAATCCCATTGGATTAAATGGAAAGAACGGCCAGAGTGTTTTGCTTGCTACTACGATAGCCGGCCCATTATCTTCTCAGTAGAGAAAAGATTATTCTTATTGAGAAAAGATTATTCTACCTAACTTATAAACTCAAACTAGTCGGCCAACTTAACTAGATTTATGGTGTTGTTCATTGCAGTTGCATCATTACCTAGCAACTTTAAATAACTAATTAATAAATACTCCTGGATAAACTTTTCCTTTAATTAGCTGAACAAAATGTTGAGGTTTATGAGTATTCTAAATTTACGCATAAATGAGCGAGCTTAACTTAATGACTTGTGTTTTGTGTGATTTTTCCATCAAGTTCGGACAAGTACGAGGTTATAGCTCGATCAAGAATTAGTTCGGCTCAAACGATTGTCCAACCCAGCATAAACTAGTCACGACCAATCTCGATAGTTGTTCAAACAGCTCACAGATAACCTTAGATCTCGAATATCTCGGAAGAGATTAGATCAATAGCAATTAAGGCGCAATCTCAGTGCTCAATCACGAGAATATCAAAGTTGCATTTCAATTTTAATTGTAATCTCTTTATTTTCACTATTTCCTTTGTACAAGATTTATATATAAACCCCCTCCAACGATGAGAAAAGGGTTAGCAAATTGTTTTAAGAATATCATTGTAAGTTCTCACAACAAATACAAAAAATAGTGGATGTAGGCTCAAGATTGAAACTTGCCGAATCACTTTAAAAACTTTTCTTGTTATTTTACTTTACTGCATTCCATTCACACATTGTTGGTTATCCTTAATCGCGCACACATCGGTTCCGATTTCATCAAGGTCAATCGAATCGCTCTAGTTGGTGCGAATCTCGTATCAATATTTTGGCGCTAGAATGAGAGCCTCCGCCAAATTTCAGAATTTTCGGCAATCAATTTGAGTGACCTAGTCACCTGAAAATTCCAAATGGCTCATACCAGATCAAAGACCAACACAAGAAACCATGACAACATGGAAACGGCCAATTAGGAGGTTCATTAGACTGTGCCTTTAGGTCGACCACTAGTACCGTCGATGCAGCAGACTGCAAACTAGCTGGCGTTAGGGACGTCGAATCCCGAGAATGGGCAACTGGTGGAGATGATCAGAACAATGGTTGCTCAAGCGATGCAACACAACGTGGCTGAGTTAAGAAACCAGCAAACGGCCCCACAAGACCTTGACTAGCCATGTTTCACCAACATCACCTCGACAGGTCGGAACTTAGCCAGCGACCAATCTAGTTCGTCGACACCAAGGAACGGGCGACACCCCCAACACTGCCGGGCAAATTCCACTCATGAACGAGAGTTCCACGGGCAGACTAACCTTAGAAGGCAACCGGGCAAACAGCCCATAGTGGAGGATGAAGGTAACAGTCGCCAGAGGGATGCTTGACCTGCTCGATAATATCCCCAACGTCAGCGTGCCAGTTTTAACCCATGCTAAAGGCGAGCTTAGACCTCACAAACTCGCGAGATGAGCCACATGCTCCAATTTGGCAATGATCGACGTTTCAGTTCTGACCAACGTCGCGAGCAACGCACTAATGACTACGATAGCACTTACCAACCAAGCTATTATGACTCAACCTCGCGCATTAATGCGCACAATGGAGGGGTTTCACAAGCAACAGATCTCCGAACTCATATGCTCGAGGTAAGGTTGAATAGAGTCAGCCAGAGTAATCCCCATAATGAAGATCTAGATCGGGTGCAAACAATGTTTAACAATCTAAAGGCCCGCCAAAACAATACGGCTGAAGAAATAGTGAGCTCTCCGTTCATGGAGGAAGTTCACCAGATCCCACTCCCCTAGGGATTCAGGGCGCTAGAGAGCAAGTTCGACTGGAATGGGGATCCTAGAGACCACATTGCCTCTTTTAACGATCTGATGGAGCTACATCAGGTCTGTGACTTGGAAAAATGCCATTGCTTCGTGGCCACATTGGTAGGGGATGCCAAGAGGTGGTATAAAAGGCTCAAAGCGAACTCAATTCAGTCCTAGTAGCAGTTCTCCTTGCTGTACCTACAGCAATTTCAAGCGATGAGACAGTTTGCAATGTCGCTCAGCTGTCTGAGCAATATTCGTTAGGAAAGAGACGAAATACTGACCTCGTACTTAACAAAGTTCCAGAATGAGCAGGCAAAGGTCACAGATGCACTTGAAGAGTCGATCTGGACTTTGCCAATTACAGGTATAAGGCTGCAGACGAAGTTGTGGAAAGAACTGCAAAGTGAAAATCATGTGAGCCTAGCCAAGTTCTATCAAATGGTTGCCAAACATCAATTGGTGAAAAGCTTGCTACCGGCCTTGACCAAAGGCTCTCCAAGAAAAGCCCTAGACAAGCGACAAGATCTCCTAACAGATAAACAGAGAGGCCAAAACCACAATGATAGGGACCGAAAGAGGTTCCAAAAGAAATAGAGTACAAAGAACCACGGGGAAAAGCAGCATTTCCCATAGTATGCAGAATACACTCGTCTAACTCAAGATGTAGCTCACATCTATGAGGTCTCTCATGAGGCCAAGAGACTGCCTACACCAGAAAGAATGAGGGGGGTACCAAGTAGAAGAGATTGCCAAAAATACTGTCGGTACCACCGGGATATTGGGCACAACACTAATGAGTGTCGAGCTCTAAAGGACGCTATTGAGGATCTGATCAGGAGGGGCCACCTGAAAGAATTTGTCAAGGAGGCCCTAGCTCACGAAAAAATAAGCGAGCAGAATAATCAAGTCGAACAAAATTTGACGAACAATGACGTTCTGGTGGGAATGATCTATGGGGGACCCGACATTGCAGAGAGTTCCAAACATTCTTGCGAGCAATACAGACGAGAGGGCAGGACAAACTCAGTCCCCGAAGTAATGAGTTGTGTACAAAAGTCATCAAAGTGGCCTAAACAAAAAAGCGAGGTGATAAGATTCACCAAGGAAGAGTGTGAAGAATCTCCTCCCCACAACCGCGATAGGATTGGCAACGCCCGAGTACTTCGGGTAATGGTCGATAATGGCAGTGTAGAGAACATCATTTTCTTGGGAGCTTTTTGAGGAATGAGGTTTATAGAGCTATATTTGAAGGCATGTCCATCACCACTCTATGGATTCACCGGGGATAGCCTAGTCCCCAAGGGAACAATCGATTTACCCATGACTTTTGGGAAAAAGCCTAAGATAAGGACGGTGATGGTGAATTCTTAGTGATCGATTGCCCGACCATGTACAATGTCATTTTCGGGAGACCGATCCTGGCTGACCTAAGCGCAGTCACCTCGGTGCACTACCAAGCAATGAGATTCCTAACTCTAAACGGGGTCACCACAATTAGGAGTTGTAGGAAAGATTCTCAGGAATGTTACAATCAGGCCATTCATGCTGCACAAAAATTGTCGCTCCCGAGAACTATGGTCATCGTTGAGTCCGAGCGTAAGCCTAGACTTTTGGAAGACACTATAGATCCTCGCATCCACAAAGAAAAGCCCGTAGTAGGGCCTACAGAAGAGTTGTGAGAGGTACTTGTCAGCGAGGAGGACCCAACTTGCGTGTTAAAAATTGGCAGGAGCCTGAGCGACGCGTTGGCGAACAATCTCGTGGGGTTCCTGAAGAAAAACCTTGACGTGTTTGCTTGGATTCACGCGAACATGGTGGGGATCAACCCCAAAGAAATGTGTCACAGATTGAATGTCGAATCAAAGGCTTGACCAATTAGACAAAAAAGAATATCTATGGATGTTGAGTGATCCAAAGCACTCAAGGATGAAGTTGATAAGCTCCTAAACATTAGCTTCATCAAGGAAGTCAAGTACCCAGACTGGCTTGCCAACCCTGTCTTGGTGAAGAAGTCGAATGGCAAGTCTCAGCTAAGGCTCGCTTCCTATCAACAACGAGCCAAACGATCCTTCATCTCCAAAGTCAAAAACAGAGATTTTGGAGTAGGCGACCTAGTTCTCAGAAAGGTCATCCCTGGTACACAAAATCCAAACTTGTGAGCACTTTGGCACAAATGGGAAGGTCCTTTTAGGAT